TTTTCTGTAGTTGTTCAAGGTCTTCTTGCCGTTCTTTTTGTCGCCTGGCTTCTTCGTCTTGTTTTTCTTGTTGTCGTCTGGCTTCTTCGTCTTGTTTTTCTTGTTGTCGTCTGGCTACTTCGTCTTGTTTTTCTTGTTGTCTTCTAGCCTCTTCTTGCTGTCGTCTAGCTTCTTCGTCTTGTTTTTCTTGTTGTCGTTTGGTCTCTTGAAGTTCCAACATTTTGCGCAGGAGTTCTTCAACTTTTTGTTCGTCCATTTTCGCTTGTTGTCTTGTGATAGGCATATACAGAATGTCACACGCCGGTGAAGTCACAAATTGGATAACTTGCTTTATTCGCGAATAGAATGTTCTGGAATTTCCTTGAAATTTCTTTTCTAGATGTCGATTGATACAGCAAACACGTCGGTGAAGTCACAATTTCGATATCTCCCTTGGTTTCCAAATAGAATGTTCTAGAATTTTCCCGAAACTCCTCGAAAAACCTCTTCTGAATGACGATTGATGTTCTGAATACGTCGGCGAAGTCACAAATTCGATATCTCTCTTAGTTTCCAAATAGAATTTTCTAGAACTCACTCGAAGATTCACTATCACACTCTAAATCGGGTATAGAGTCACTTCCGGGGTAATTCACACGATCGGTTAAGTCTCTTTTTGTGATTGTCACTGTTTGCACTGCACTAACTGTCCCAGTGTTCACTTAGTGTTCAGTTTTTATACTACACTAGTGTCCCCGCACTTCCGTAATTGGATTTCACTCTGCAGTCCTTCAAATCCCACCGCTGTCACCAGTGTCGCGGCTTTAGATTACCTGACAGAAATCTTGGGTTCGTTGTTCCTTTCGTTTATTCCAAAAATCAAAGTCCGATTAACACGGCAATAATTTATTCCACTTAACAAAACACTCTGATACTAATTACTTTATTAACAAACTCAACAATTAAACTCTTTACAATCACTATTTAAATCGTATCACAGTCGAACTGAAAACTAAACTTACAAATCAATGCCGGCCTTCTTATATATCCCTAATTCTATTCCTGTAAAATCTAGAATACACACGATAATCTAATTTTCCAGATAAAAGTAGAATAATTCGCTAGATTCTAGTATTTTCACCATCGATTCTTGACAGCCTGGCGGACGATATCGTGACAATATATATCCTCCTCATATTCAGCCAGAAATTGGGATGTGAACTTAACCAATAGCAAGTCGTCCACATTAGAAGATATATCCATCCTTTTAGGTCGAACTTAAAATTCTTCCACACTGATGATATGTCACAAAGTTGCCCCGGAAGGTTACTCTGTTTTGTTTGTTTATTGTTGAAAAAAAAAAATATGTTGAACTGATAAATCGTAAGCGTATTTACGTAGATATCCCGACAAGTAGCCCAGCAATTGGAAATTCTCACGAATTTTTCTGAGGAGTGTTCAAACTTTGATGTACCGGGTGTCCAAATAAGAAAGGTCGCCGGCTATATCTCAGGAACTATTAGTCCTAGAAGAGCTTCCAAGTAAATTTTTTTTTCATAAAATAGCCGCCGATTTCAATTTTTAATGAAATATGTCCATTTAAATCCTCTAAATTCATATTTGAAAGTAACAAGAGGTTGGGAACAAAATGGCGGTGGGACCTCTATTGTCGCCACTGTATGTAAAGGTTTATTTAGCCACTGTATCGAAAACATAATACTGTGATTATCTTCAAAAAACGCCCATTTGAGGTATCCTAAAAATATGATTATTGGAATTTTGATGAAATTACGAAAAAATTTTGTTAAAGATTTTTTGCCCTAACTCTTCAAATAAGAGGTGGGGGAAGGTTCAAACTTGTTAGGAACAAAAGTTATATACCTTTTTTGTTTTTCAAACGATTTGAATGAATCCGGTGTCATTTGGAATAGTTTTTTTCTGCTTAATGAAATGCATTATAAAAATAACAAAATTAAATTGTTTTGTTGCCGCTAGGGGGCGCTGTGTCTAAAAGTCGACAATTTTCCCTTTTTTCTCGGAAATTTCAAATATAATGATGCTTTTTTTATAATTTAGATGGAAAGAGGATGAAAAAATAAGGAATCTGGTGAAAACCGCAAGTCTGAATCGTTATCCTAGCCCAAAATATAAATAAACAAATATTTTCAGTAAGAACATTTTCAGAAAAAAACCTTCTTGCCTTCCTCTTCGGAATAAAACACAAAAAATCTTATTTTTTTACGGCACTTTAAAATCAGTGAGAAGAAGAACGAACGAATTGTGTGTCTGAAAGTAGCTATCAATCCACGATATCAAGAATTGAAATTGATTGAACTATAGTTATTTACATTCCAAGCTGCGAAAGCGCACTTTTAGATGCGAGGTGTATTTGATACCTCCGAACACCTAAATAGTTATTTACATTCCAAGCTGCGAAAGAGTACTTTTAGGTGCGTGTATTTTTGAATACCTCCGAGCACCTAAAAGGGCATTTGCAGCGTGTAATGTATCAAACTTTTCATTGTTCCCCTCAGGAAAACATTTTTTTATCTTGAATAGGCAAGCGAACGCGAAAGTCAAACAAGCTAGTCATTACTTTCACTTTCGCTTGCCTATTCAAGATAAAAAAAAACATTTTTTTTTTTTTGAACCACATATTATGTAATTAATGCATTCTTTACTGGTTTGGAGATTCGAAAATGTCATTTTACTTTTGTTTACTTTAAAGCAGGCCGAAAGTGACTGTTCTTCTGTCACTTCCGGCCTGGAGAACTCACTTCCGGCCCTGATAAATTGTTCTTTCTCACCTTAACACAAATCCAGGTGCAATGTTTGTATTTAGAAGTAGATGTCACGTGTTCATATTGTTGAAATTTCATAAGATGTCAATGTCGGTGTCAGACTGTCAGTCGAAATTCCATTTTTGTCATATTTTTACCTCATTTTTTTAATAATAAATGGTTAAAAATAAAATAGTATACATAATTTGGTCGAAAATTTTCACATTATTGTCTCGAGAATTGGTTGACCTCGGTCAACCATAGTATCTCTCGGCAATAATGAAACACTTTCCACCTCCGCATGTAATATAGGTACTATTATTTACAATCATACATGTAAGGTTGACTTTTCGGACTTTTGAAAATGTCACTTTTTTACTTTTACTTTTCACCCATGGGTTGAAAGTTTACTTTCCTCCCGTGGGCCGAAAGTAAGTGAAATTGTTGAAATTTATTGTATTTTTTTAGTTTTTATTGAAATAAAAATTGCAAAATTCGAATGATTGTAAATAAAAAGTATACATACCTTGGTTAAAAGTTTCATTACTGTCTCGAGATTTTAATTAAACCTCGGCTGCGCCTCGGTCTAACCGTTGTAAAATCTCTCGACAGTTATAAAACACTTTCTACCTCGATATGTAATATACTATTCCTGAGGGGAACAATGAAAAGTTTAATACGTTACACGCTACAAAAGCCCTTTTCATTTTCCCCCCTACAAAAGTAGATTTTTTTGTCATGCATAGGCGAGCGAAAGCGAAAGTGAAACATGCTAGTAGTTACTTTCACTATCGCTATTAGCATGTTTCACTTTCGCATACCTATTCGCGATTTTTGAGGGGAAAGCATGAAAAGTTTAATACATCACACGCTGCAAAAGTCCTGTTAGGTGCTCCGGAGGTATTCAAATAGCCGCATCTGAATGTACTCTCTCGCAGCTTGGAATGTAAACAACTATTTAGGTGTTCGGAAGTATTAAATACACCTCGCACCTAAAAGTGCGCTTTCGCAGCTTAGAATGTAAATAACTATAGTTTAATTCAATTTCAATCCTTGATATCGTGGATTGGTAGCTATTTTCAGACACACAGTTAGTTCTTATTCTTACTAATTTTGTAGTGCCGTGAAAAAATAAGATTTTTTTTGTTTTATCCTGAAAAGCAAGGCAAGAAGGTTTTTTTCTGAAAATGTTCTTACTGAAAATATTTATTTATTTATATTTTGGGCTTGGGTAAAGATTCAGATTTGCGGTTTTCACCAGATTCCTTATTTTTTCATCCTCTTTCCATCTAAATTATAAAAAAAGCATCATTATATTTGAAATTTCCGAGAAAAAATGGAAAATTGTCGACTTTTAGACACAGCGCCCCCTAGCGGCAACAAAACAATTGAATTTTGTTATTTTTATTATGCATTCCTTTAAAAAGAAAAAAACTCTTCCAAATGACACCCGATTCATTCAAATCGGTTGAAAAACAAAAAAGTTATATAACTTTTACTCCTAACAAGTTTGAACCTTCCCCCACCACTTATTTGAAGAATTAGGGCAAAAATCCTTAACAAAATTTTTTCGTAATTTCATCAAGATTTCAATAATCATATTTTTAGGATACCTTAAGTGGGCGTTTTTTGAAGATAATCACAGTATTATGTTTTCGAGTGTTCGTTGTGCCCCCTAGCGGTCAACTTACAAACTTGAAAACTATTTCCAGCAATTTTTCATGGCCTATTTTATGAAAAAAAAATTTACTTGGAAGCTCTAGGACTAATAGTTCCTGAGATATAGCTGGCGTCCTTTCTTATTTGGACACCCGGTACAGGGTCATTTTTTATATTTTCCCACCCCCCTTAACTTTTTTGTGCCACTGTGTATAAAAAAAAATTAAATAGGAAAGTTGTAGTGCTTGAAAAGTAGTTCTCAGAAAACTACCCCTTTCTTGCATTCACTGTAATTTCTAAACAGGGCCAAATATTTGGTGACAGTTTTCGACAATCGGCACCCCGTTTATTCCTCTCATAATGCCCCAGCGGATTTTTTTTTTCGTTAATTTTTCAATAACTTATTGGCCTGAACACGTCGCGCGGAATTTTTCAAAGAGTCAAAAAAAAATTAAAATTGTTGCACAGCGCTGACATTTGGTACGATGGCTTTATTTATTGTTTTTAGGAATATACTGCAATTTAAATTGCTTCACACGACTGCTACAAAAAAAACAACTTAAAAGCAATAAAAAAATGATTTTCAAATGAATACTAAATTCTTTTATTTTCTATGATAACAAAAACTCAATGATTCTAATGAAAAGAATCATGTAAACTCTGAGGAAAGAATATTGTAACACAAAAATAAATATAAATTCTACATGACTCAAAAAAAAAGATAAAATAAATTATTTAAACTAAAGGAACTTAAAATATTTTTTAAAGTCTAATTTTACAGGGAGTAATCATCGGCGTTGGGTTTTCCACCTTTTCATCGACTGTTGTAGTATTATTTTTTTCTTTAAAGGGAGTTTCTGCATTTAATTTTTCGTTAATTTTTCTGGACAATAATCGCTTTCTAGTGTTTTTACTCACACTTTCTGGTTGATGTCGTACACTCGCATCTGACAAATCCGTGGTTAATTTTTTAGGAGTTTCTCTTGGCTTATATGCCCTGCGGCTTTTTACAGTTTGATTCGTATTGGACGACCCTGGCGAGTTTCCCTCTAAATTCTCCTTAGGTGTTTCCATTTCGTGCTTTTCCTTTTTAATTATTCTCTTTATGACGGGAGCCAGTTGAGATTCAGCAATGCCATCTAAATCTTTATTAGAATTGTGTTTTGAACCATATTTTCGTACACTTTTCGGGACTTCAAACAACGTTGCTTGATTTAAATCGTCTCGAAGTCCACGATCGTCTGACGTTGACATCTTAGTATTACGTTGTCTAACAGATCGTTGAGATGCAGTATTGGGTGCAGTTCCATCCAATGGTAGATCGATTAATTTATCTTCAAGTTTTTTCACGCCAAGATCATCGAAAGATGACATTTTAGTATTTCGTTTTCTAACAGATCTTTGAGCATGAGCACTTGTTGCTGCTTCTAAATCCTTATCAGTACTTTGTTTCGAACCATATTTTTTCAAACTCTTTGGAACACCATCTATCAATGGTGTTTCGTTAAAATCATCTTCAAGTTTCTTCACACCAAGATCATCTGACGTTGGAATTTTGGTATTTCGTTTTCTAACCGATGATCGAGATTGAGCACCTGTTGTTGGTTCAGCATCTTTATTAATACTTTGTTTTGACTCATATTTTTTTAAGATGTCATCACTCAATAGTAAATTGTTGAAATCATCTTCAAGTCTCTTCACGCCAAGATCATCTGACGTTGACATTTTAATACTTCGTTTTTTTACCGATGATCGAGATTGAGCGCCCGTTGCAGTTTCAGCATCTCTATTGCTGCTTTGTTTTGAATCATATTTTTTCAAGTTATCATCAGTCAATAGTAATTTGTCAAAATCATCTTCAAGTGTCTTCACGCCAAGATCATCTGAAGTTGACATTTTAATATTTCGTTTTCTAACAGATGTTTGAGATTGGGCACTTATTGGTGTTCCTAAATCTCTATTGATACTCTGTTTTACACTCTTTGGGATATCATCAGTCAATAATATTTCGCTGAAATCATCTTCAAGTCTCTTCACGCCAAGATCATCTGACGTTAACATTTTCCTAATTCGTTTTCCAACCAATGGCGCACTTGGAGTACTATCAATCTTTTTACCAAGATTTTTAAGTTTTGGGGTATCGAAAGTAAACATTTTAAATTTGGGAATAGCGCCGGGTGGTTTCGGATTTAATTTTTCTGAAGTTGCTCGTTTATGACTACACGGGGTTTGGCCTGAAAACTCTTCAGAAAATGGAAGTGATTTAACAGGTCCTAATAATGGTGTGGCAGGAGTTGCAAAAATACCCCAAGCTGTTTCTTTGGGTTTAGAGAATTGATGATCGTCACCATTATTTGTGGGAGGTAACTCTTGATCACTCTCCTCGTCTATAGCTTCTTCAGAAGCAAATAAATTAACTTTTGTTTTAGGTTTCTCTTTTAGTGGTGAAAATATTTCTCTTTCATTAACAGATACTACTACTTGCAACTTTTTGCTTATGGGAGTTCCAGCTACAAATAGTTGTTTAGGAGGTTTTAGCTTTTGATCATTCTCTGTACTGTCTGTCACTATTCCAGGTATAGGTAAATTAATTTCAGCAATCAGATACGTTAGAGTTTGGAGCACAACATCTCTGTACAAATGAGCATATTTATGTTTTACGGGCTCTAGAAAAGCGACCAATATTTCATTAACTTTTTTAGCTTTGGTTATGTCATTGTTTCTCAACAGGTAAAAAACATACTCATACAAACCAAAACCCAGAGTATCTACAAAAGTTTCTATAAAATCTGGAACTAAACCATCGGATATTACCATAGAAGCTTTGTTTATGAACTTATCAATGTTTTTGTGGAAAATTTGATATAACCTTATAGCACCGTTCACATAGTCTTCAACTATCTGCTTCTCATTCCTGTAAATATTAATTAGAGTATTTAAATTCGATTTAGCCAAATACAGTTTTTGAAATTGCCAATTCAGGCACATGAAGCAGAGGCAAGCTTGTTTGTGGTATAGGAACTTAGGCAGGGTAAAACTTTTCACTGCTTGCGTTGGGGATGAAGGCGAATATTGCCGATGATGTTGCGGCACCTCTAATACCAAATCCGAATTGCATATTGAAAATATGTCCTCTATTCCGTTTAATTTGACTTCAGCATCGTTCAATTCATTCGTGGTAATATCAGCTTCAGCTAATAATAATAACAGGTCAACGCACCGTAATGGTAAATTCAGTTTTTGGGCAAGAGTAACACAATTTCTTGAATAGCTTCTCAATTCTCGAGGTTGTCGCATTTGACGATAGACTTTTGTAAGTTCTTCTACTATGTTGAATAATGTACAGGTTTCACTGTTGTTAACTAGAAAAAAAAACATGATAAAATAGTAGCATGTAAAACATTCAAAGTTATTATTATAAAGAATTCATTTTCTAGAGATGGCAGCAATATAGCCAGTAAGTTTTATGGTATCTGGTGGATTATGTGCATCCAACATATTGATATTTAGTGTGAAATTTCCCTTTTCATTTCAATCTGCAAAAATTTTAGTTTGGCTTTCAAGAAAACAGTGGTTCGTTCGGTACAAGTTTATCATCTGACATAAAATCAATATAGTGTTCTAGCTTTCTCTTTCTGAATTTGTAAACTTTTTGAAGAAAACATGACACTTTTGTTTGTGTGAAAATTTCTACGTGAGTGCTGCATGCATCAGAATTTTTAAAAGTTCTCTTCGATGAGAGCCGTATACACATAATGTGACAGAACTGCCACGTGGGCCTAGCTGGATTCTAGAAATCAAGGATCAATACAAGTTTTTATCTACAAGCGTTTGGTTATGACGTTTTTACATAACTATTTTTCTAGTATTTGAGTTGTGTTATGAGACTCATAACACAACTAGTGGTGTTATAGATTAGGTTATGAATTCATAACACAACTAGTGGTGTTATGGACTGTTTTTTGAAGTGAGTTTTAGGAAACCTGGAATCCGTGACAATAATTTATACTATTTTTGCCATTTTCAGATACAGAGGTTAACTAATACAAAATCTGTGCATACAAAATGAGTTAAATGACCTTCTACTATTTATATTAAAGTACTGTTCTGCATTTAACCATAATTTTTGAAAATAAGTCTTATTCAATTTGAAACTATAAAAATATTCCGAAATGGGTAAATACTTACTGACATTATTGCACATCAGATCAGCCAAAATTTCATGGGCCGCATGTAATTTGTAAGTCCCGGGCTCTCGTATGGGATCGTGTTCCAAAAAGTTGCAATTATTATTACTAGTCAATTTGTAGGAGATGACATAGAGTTCGGCACGCAGATGACCTTTATGTCCTGTTGATTCACATAAGGCATCTGCCTTTTTCCATGCTTCATTAGATTGGCGAGGATTGTCGTATACTAATGCTTTAGATTTACAGATGTAGAAAAGAGTAATAATTTCATTCAAGCTGAAAGGAAAATGTAAATTAGATTATGTCAAATGGATGGACTAATTTCTAGTTACTGATATGATCATTTAATAGCAATAAAACGGGGGATGAGACAACAAAAAAAAAACTTTATTATTATAAAAGCTGTTGAGGGCCCAGAGCTGAGAGTATTATTCAAACAGGATGTCCCAGAAGCGGTCCACAGTACCCAGTTTGAAATTTAAATAAAAATGGAACACCCTGGGGTAAAATATAGTGAATATCTTGGTACATAATAACATAGGAAAGTATTTCTAAATGAAGGATGTACATACATGTGATTATACAGTTGTTTAACCTACCATTTTCAATAAATCGTGCTAATGAAATTCTTATTAATTTAAATGTGAATGTTCAGATAGAAAATTTAAAAAAAGTTAAATAAATAAAAGTTCTTACCTATTCTTATGACTCTTATCACAATAATTGCTCTCCAATTGTCTCACAAGTGCATCCCCTTCGATAATGAGATCTTTAACCATGGGGGATTTTTCATTTGCCATTTCAATAATATTACTCAAGGCAAACAATTGGTCTTCGGAGGCTTTCAATGTACGAGCAAATTTCATGGATATTTCGAATGCTTGTATGCTTTTTATTGGAAAATTATGCAACCTGGAAAAAAGTTATTTTAAGTCCGATTACATAATTTATGTAGGTATTCAGACAAAGCAGGAATAAGGGAGGGGGTGAAGTTAGCCTCTATATCTAGCCACGGATTAGGGACAACCGCACCTAAAAAAATCAACTTATTTTAAATTAACCTTGTTTATTAGGTACTGCAATGATAATTCTATTCTTCTTCTTTCGGTGCCATGCCTGTTGTCTTCAGGCGTGGGCTATCTCCATGGCAAATAATTATATTAGTATTTTATTATGATATAACTAATAAAATAAAATGGTGTTGAATCTAAACTTTAAACACACAAGTTTCGCAACGAGTTTTTAATTCCTTTTTCGATATTTTGGATGGGGTATCTTCTACCTCCTACCATCTTTTAACAGGGACTCAATAAAGTGACTTAAGAGTTCAATTCTAGAATAATGCCTTGAATTGCTTTTAAAATCGGTAGAGGATTAGGGGAGAAAACATCAAAATACTCAACATAATAATCTCTTAGCAGAGATTCAATAAAGTCTACAATAATTCCTTGAATTCATTTCGTTATCGGTAGGGCATTAAGGGTTCAAAATATTAGAAAACTCAACAAAAGGTAAACTTTGTCAAAAGCAAGGTTTTTATCTTTTTTCATAAAATTTTGGTTAGGGTACCACTACTGTCTTTGAGCAGGGACCAAATGCCGCAGGCATATCTCTATTGCACGTATTTCGGCTTGGAATACAGAGGTAGGTTTCCCCAGTGGAAAAAGCCATTTTACTCTTGAGGATAAGCCATATACTCCGGCACCGGTTCCACTGTCGGTTTTGGAACCATCAGTGTACCATACTTCATACTTTCTATTCTGGACTAGTGAGTTTTCTGTTTTGTTTTACAGTTAATCTGGGTCTGAAACGGTTTGTGAGTGTTTATTCTCAGGGTCATGTTGTCACTTCTCATCTCAAACAGTGAGTTTGTAACAATTTTTGTGTAGGCCTCTATTCTTCCCTCAGCTGTGATCAGTGTTGCCAGATGTCAAATTTAAAATTATCAATATTTGGGAACAAAATTATCAGATTTCAAGAAAAATGATCAGAAAAAGTTTCTGACTTTTTATATCTATTTTCATTTTTCTGGTTCTAGCTGGGACTTTGGGGACTAGTGTTTGGTGCCCGCACCAATACGTCGAAACACTCAAAACCAACAACCACCTTCAATAATGATATCAAGTGGCGGGGGGTTTAACAGGAGTTGGAGTGCTTCTCATTGTACCGTACCCGTTATGCTGAGACAAACCAATCTTTGGAGTTTGGATAGCTCTATTGTTGCTTTGCTCTGTTCGACTTTTGGCCACGAAACTATTGACCCGTAGGTTATTCTCGGTCTTACCACTGCTGTATAGTATAGATCCAATATACCTACTATGTGGGGTAGAAATCCCCATGTCTTCCGCAGTGTTCTTTTGGTGGCCATTAGCGCCACTTTACCTTTGTTTGCGCGATCCAGGTTAGTATTCCATCCAGCATTTTTAGGTATGTATTTGACTTCTCGGACGAATTGTATTTGCTAGCCGAAGAAAATGTGGGGGACTAAATTGTCTAGTTTTCTTTTTTTCGTGAAGGAGACCATTACTGTTTTTTTTAGGGTTGACACTCAGGTTTGCCCTTTTGACCTAGTCCTCCACAATTTTAAGTGCTCTTTGCATTTCCGCAGCAGCAGTCTGTTAAATTTTCCCCATAACTACAATGACTGCTACATCATCTGAGTTTCTGAGTAACTCTGGGTATAATTTTTTCTGTTATCAAGTCTATGACTAGGTTCCACAGTAAGGGGGATAGGACCCCACCATGAGGGCAGCCATTTTATACGGACATCGGACATCTCCCTTGTATCATTATCAAGAGTAGCCTGAACTTGTCAGCCACGAACCATGTTATCAATCCAGAGAGAGAAGAGATATCAAACTGTGTAGATGCATTTTTGTAGCTCCGTGTTTTTGACGGTATTTTGTGGTATTATTTCACATAAAAATACAGTAAAAATACATAATGGGCATTAAAAATGACGGTAAAGTGCATAGTGTAAAGAAAAAGCAATTGGATGAAAGACATCAAAGTTTTTCGCTAGGAAAAATCGATTTAACCATTACAGAAATAGAAACTACTATTTGGAACACAGGCAAATAATGTTAATCTCTTCAATATGAACACTGATAAGACAGACAATGCAAGCAATGTAAACAAACAAAATATCTTTCCAACCGTAGAAAAAAATTTAAATTTGAATATACTTCCCAGTATATCCACAAAAAAACCCTTGTCAAATGGACAAATCGTCGTCTTGCATACGAAAAGGTGTATCTCAAAAAATCGATTTTTTTTGTTATGCCCTTTTAATTATGTCTTTAGTCGATATTTTGTTGGTGTCAAACGGGCGTATCTTAATCATTATGCCCTGCGGAGTTATTTAGAAAAGTAAGTTGGGCGAAAGTCAATACAGCATATTATAGCAGCAGACAAAAAGGCGAATCTCAATTACATCTTATTTTAAATTTGCCTGTTGGGAAGCTCAATAAGCAAAGACCTAAAGTTACAGTCCTTAAGTAAGACAACTTGCGGTTTCCCTGTGCTATGAAAAAGACCCGGTGGTGAAATCTCTTGCTTTCTACAGACAGCTTCCACATGAGTAAAATGCTGATTTTTTATTGTAGGAACATTTTGCTTGAAGTTTAGTTTCCTTATTTCAACGTTTTTTCAAAGTTCAGTTTAATTTTTTTGAACCAAAAATGTATGTTTGCATTATAATAACGAGGTGTATTTTTTTACCAATCTAAAGAACAAAAATTAACAACACACAACACACAGAAGGGCGTATCTCATTTTTTTAAAACTTTTTTCTCTTTTTTGCATAATATCGAAGATATTTATTCAAACATATTAAGTGCTAAGAATATGTTTTTTCTTTTCTGACTGAAAAAAACCAAGCTACAGCCGTAAAAACTTTATTGTATTCGTGTGGCAAAAGTTTTGATTGCATCAAAAATTTGAAACCGCTTTCGCAAGACGACGAAACATGAACAAGACAAATACTCGGAAATTTTCACTGCCAAAAAATTGATAGAAATAACACGCCCTAAGGATTGGAAATATATTTGCGAGAATTTCATACATCTGTCAAAACTGGTATTCCAACAATAAACTGACATGTTTTGATTATTGATTTGAACCAATCAGATTGGAATTACGCGATAATTTGCACTAGTGCAAATTATCAGATAATTGCATAGTAACTGGTGCGAAAACTGGTGTTTTGACATTTTTTGACAAAATATTTAAATTTTTGATTTATGAAATTCTCTCATTAAATACAACTTGTGCAATGGAAATATATTTATAATTTCCATTGCACTCGTTATATTACTATTGACAATCATGCGGAAATTACAGAGGCAGAGATAACTAGCTCTGAAGAAAAAAGTAACATGATAGAATGGATATTAAGTTCTTTAAACTTTCTATATAATTATACAGAGAAGGATGAACTTACTCAGAAAGATAAATCAGAGCTGAGGTAAGCTGGTTTTAAGTTGCATGAAATAGTAACAAAATTAGCATACGAAGTGGGAAAACCTATAGTAGAGTCATGAAATCTACCCTGAATAATAGGAATAATTCAAACAACCTAGCAATATTTGGAATAAACCTCCAATAACTAGAACCTATGAAACCCTAATAAAAACCAGAAACTCAGAAGATGCTATGGACATTCTTTTTTTATTTTCATAAGACATAATAATGGTGGAAAAGGAACAAACAATCACACTAGTATGTATTGGCAAACCTGTGCATGCTGATAAAACAGCGCAATCTGCAACTGAATCATACGCTATATACACTGGCCATGTGAACATAAGGTCCCTAATCCCGTCTTTTCCGAATGTCTGTGAGCTTCTGCTTTACGAAAAATTTCATTTTTTTGGTATTTCAGAATCCTGGCTATCCTCAGACTACCCCAACGCCCTTAATCAATATTCCGGGCTACCAGCTTTTTCTTTCTGATTTTCTGATAGGCCATCAAGGGGTGGAGGCATTTGTTTGTTTGTGGCCAGTTGTTTCAAAAGTGAGGTACAGACCGCCATTAATTAATTAGAAGCATTTCGACGGTATATGGAGGATACATTAGCTGGACCTGGACTTGTGGCGTTATACGACAGAATTATTCGTATGGGTGACCTTAACGTCAATTTGATGGTCGATTGTGTAGAGAGCAAATACGACAGGTATTCAATTTGAGTCAAGTAATCTCAGGACCGACAAGAGTGATTAAAGATAGTATTAGTTTAATTGATGTAATTTGTGTTGATAATGGGGTTAAAGATTGGCTCTCGGGAACTTTTGATAAGCTTAATTTAATAGATCATAGACTTGTCTATGCCCATTTAAAGATGGATGCACCTAAAATATCTTCAAAGACAATAACATACAGAAACTTTAAAAATTTAGACAAAGAACAATTTGACAGAGAAATGCGTCAAACAAACTTTGAAGATGACAAAGTTCATGCTTTAAACCAATGGCTTACTAACATTTTTGACAGGTATGCGTTCTTTCAAGACTGTTCAAATTAAACACAAATATAAACCTTGCATCACAGATACAATTGAAGAAATCATTGAACTTAAAAAGAAGGCTTCCAATAAATTCAAAAGAACGGGTCAAGTGACACAAACATTTCTACATCGATCTAAAGAATTATTTGTTCTTCACAATCCGTAGTGAAAAAAAAAGCCTACATGGCTAGTGAGCTCAATAAAGTTCAGAAGGACTCAAAAAAACTATGGTCAAAAGTCAATAGCTGGAATATTCACAATAAAAATCGTAATGATATTCCAAACCATTTAAAAGATGTTGCTAATAAGTAATATGTTTTCTAATGTTGGTCAGTTAGCAGTTCCGGTTGATCAGGGTACACTTGAATATTTTCTGGATAATAATATAGAAACTTTGGATGGTGGTTCTTCGGGTTGTCAAGCGGGTAAAGTCAAAAAGCATGTGTGTCGATCAGTTAAGTTATAATATGCTACTCTTCAGTATCACTTACATTGCCTCAATCACCGCTGGACTGTTTAATGTCTCCTTACAAACTGGTACTTTTCCAACGCTATGGAAATGCTCTATCGCTAATCCTCTTCTAAAAAACCCAGGGTGGACAGAATTCCTATCTTGGCTAAAATGTTGGAATTATTGGTTCTGGATGTTGCATTGGAGTTTGCAGATCACGTGAACATAATTCCGGAGGCACAATCTGGATTTCGCAGAGGCCATAGTACTGTTACAGCACTCACAAAAGTAACCACAGACGTTGCGACCAATCATCAGTAAGGCATTCGACCTGATAAATCACGAAATGCTGATTGCTAAAATGCACTACTATGGCTTTCTCGGGCCAAATGTGTATCTGGTGTCAACAATATCTTAATGGTGGCAAGAGCAGAATCGGCAATTATGAGGCATGGAGTACCCCAGGGGAGCATTCTTGGCCCGTTACTTTTTACATTATATACCAACGATCTTCCCAAATAAGTTCAGCATTGCTCCATTCATCTCTACGCTGACGACACCCAGCTTCTGTTGGCTTTATACCCATGTAGGCTTGTCTAAGTTTGGAAAGGGTCAACAGCGATCTGAGTGCTATACATGTTTGGTCAAAAAATCATGGATTGACACTTAATGCTAAGAAAAGTAACTATATGATCATTGGTTCACCTTTAAGTAAAAGTCGTTTTGAACATTTTAATTTTAACTGCCTTTTGTTGACGGATTGGTGTTGCCCTGTATTGAGTCAGCCAGAAACCTAGGAGTTATTTTTGACCACAACCTCGAGTTTCCACACCATGTAAAGAAAAAATTATCGTTAGTTTATATAAAACTCAACAGTTTGTACGCCTTTAAGTATAATTTAAAACCTAGGATGAAAGTATTGCTAATTGAATCACTTGTTTATCTACATTTAGACTATTGTTGTGTAGTGTATCATAAATTCTTGACGGTGGAATTGAAGAAAAAGGTCCCATTAGCGCAAAATGCATGCATTCGATATATTTTCTGTGTGTATAAATTTGATCATATTTCACCTGTTTATCGAGAAAATGACCTATTCAGATATGAAGAACGAGTGGCTCTATTTGTTGGCACACTAGTTTATAAAGTTTTCAAATCTAACTTCCCAACGAGGTTTTGGCAATACATGGTGGCGAGACAGGACTTGAATAACCGGAATTTGAGATTTGTTACTAGATAATATAATATACCACAGCATAATACTGTCAAGTTAAGAAACTCATTTGCTACCTTTTATGTGATGCAAGTTATGTTTTTCTATTCTATTCTATTCTATTCCATTGTGAAAGAATAAAAGGTAAAATTAAACTAAATGGGAACAAACAAAACGTTTAAAGGTATAAGACGTTTACAAACTGGGGGAATAATAGTGGCATGCCACACTGCAACTCAACAACAAAGACTGCAAGAAATTCTAAAAGAGCATGACAAATTCTACATCAAAGATTTGTAAAATAGTGACCCAATGTTAACAATAACAGGCAGTGAGCAGGCTATAACACCTGACAACTGCATGGGAATTCATACAAGACAACCCTCAAATGAAAAATACGTTTGGAGAGAATGTGGAAAGAAAAATCATCAAGTTTTTCACAAGAAAACAATGTAATAACAAGAGAAAGGAAAATTGGATTTTGCAAACAACGCCTGATGTGTTTAAATGGCTAATAAGAAATGATAGCTTAACTTTTGACCTGGTTAAAGTATACATTCAAGAACTTGTAAATTTAGCAATATGCTTTAGGTGTTGCAATTTTGGGCATGTCTTGAAATATTGCAAGGTTGATCCTTGTTATGGTGGAAAACATGAAACCAAATCTTTGCTCCAGTGACACACCCCTAGACTGTCCAAACTGTACACGTTTAAATCCTAAAGACAGAATTCATAGTGCCCATGATCCTAAATGTCCTGCATTTCTTCAAAAAATCGAAAAGTAACGTGAATATGTTAATTTTACTGCTACTAACCAACAATTTTGCATAAATGAAACTTTCCACCAAAATGAAAAAAAATCAAATCTGATCCAAATTATAACAATAATACTAGCACTATAATACATCAAATGGTGCAATCATTAGGCAACTGTGTGGATATGTTAATAGCTCTGCTTGAAGAACACCCTAACTGCAAATGTCTATGCAACACTGGAGAAAAGCTGATGAACTGAAGGCAACTGGTATATCTTATTTCAGCTCAGTTCAGCATCATACTTTTGTAGAAGAAATGGATATGGAGGAGTAGCAGTGTATCTTCATATAAAGAAAGCGAAAAATTGACAATTTTTCAGTTGAAGGTATTATTGAATGTGCTTGTGTGGAATTTGCTCTCCGTTCTCGATTACAAATTTTGTCAGTCATGAACTCTTCCGACTTATATCTGAACACCAGAATAACACCAACATCACAAAGTTGTATAGACAATATTTTCACAAATGTCCCAGAGAATAATATTTCAAGTCGTGTAATTAACACTACAGTGTCGGATCATGCTGCCCAGAAGACTGTGTTTAGTTGCAGTCATGTCCATAAAAAAACCTGTTTTTATAAAAGATTTTTTAGTGAAGTACATATACATTAAATAACACATTGAAAGATGACTTCAATTTTTACTCTAATTACATTATTGAGAACGCAGGTCAACATACTAGCAAAGTCTATACTAGCAGCATTTGTCATCAGTTTTCTCTTAAAATTATTTAACATATTTCTGGCAATTTTGAAAATATACAAATGTTTTCATATCAAGTGGTATGATACAAACTTTAGGCGGTATACCATCATTCATCTCTACCAGATTAACACTATATCAAAATCTTACTTGTATTCTAGTCCAATGTTTGCAAGTAATTTGATAAGATTCTTCAATACTTGTGGGCCTAAAGAATCATCTATAAAATTTTGGACGCTGACCAGACACGAATCTAGCAGGTTTAGCACTTTGACATATTCAACTAAGCGTAAATGTGAGTAAACTGAAACGATGTCACATTCATCGTCTTTATCTTTCGGAATTGGCCCTGGAGTTACTGATCTTTTAACTGAAAATAATTTATGTTTACAGAAAATGAAGAAGGTATGTGAAAAAACTCTACCTTCTTTAGTCTTCATTTGTTCAATTGTTCTATTTGTCAATTCCTCTCTAATATTTTTATACTGATAGAACTTCATTACTGCCAACGCCAAAGTTGCATCTCTTGATTTATTTTTTTCCAACACAGCTCTGGCATTGAAAATTAAAGTACTTTCTGACATTTTTACATCCCCAGCGCTGTAAATTTGAAGAGTAACATCTGCAATTGTTAAAGGATCTGCAATCTATAAGCAAAAATATTAATTTTCTTGGACATACACAATATGTGCCTACCTTGCAAAGATTTTCGAATGCGGCCATCATAGGTATTCTGCTTTTCCAGACTGCTCTATATCTGCTCAGTTCAAATGTGAGAAGTTCAATCTGTTTACTTTTGGTAAGTAGGGCTTCAATGTTTATAAATTCACTTAGCTGCTTACTTTGTTTGAATAAGACCTTTACTAAGGTTTGTTGTTGCAAATTTGTATCTTTTTTCATCTTGATCTAATAAAAAAACTACAGGTTAATGAAAATATTCATTACAACTACTATGATCTTGTATTGATTCTGTACATTGCCAGAATACACTACCTATAAATACTTCCATACCTTGAGTAGAAGCCAGTGATTGTGAAATGTAGTATTTCTCTCCTGAGTAAACAATAGGCAATGCAGAGCTGTAAGGCCCATAGATTCCAGCCAGTTTTCTCTTTCAAATTGCAGCTTGTTCAACGAACGTATGCCAAAACTGTGAATCCTCACAATATCGTTTCTTATCTTGGTATCACCTGACTCAGGTCTTTCTACTGCCAAAGAATTTTTTAGGAAACATTTAATAATCGCTTCGCGAGATTCATTTTTTGCACTTTCAAGTATTACGCTTATTTCATAAGCTTTTCGAGTGAGCTCACTACTCCACCGAAACCAATTTTTGCAATCGTGTTTTTTAATTTCCTCCAAAAAGTCATATAGGAATTCAAAGCATTTGATTAATTGTGTAAGGAGCTTTTTGCTTAAAGTCTTAACATATTTTATCCAAGGTTGCAATAGTTCTAATAGCATTAGGCTAGTCAGAAATGCATTATTATTTCTCTTTGTATTGCAGCCACAATGGTATTCTTTAAATGACATCAATGATGGACTAATGATTTTTTCAAATGAAAACTTCACCAAATTTAGAATAACATCATCTGATAATTTTATAAATTTTTGCTCATCTGTGATCATGTAATATTCAAATACTTTACTTAAAGGTGTGTTTAAAAAGCCTATAACATTATAGAATAATTTTGTATGGGTGGCTTTGAAAGAATTTAAAGTTTTTTCAATATTAATCACGTTTTTTGGTAACTCTTCTATTTTTGTGGGAATTAATGCTGTCACAACCTTTATCATCGAATGACAATAAAAATACTGTTCATGTTTGAAATTTGTTTCAACAAAAAATAAAAGTTTATCAAGTTCCACTATATCAAGGTCCACGTTTTTATTAGGATATTGGCAAATTTCAAAGAATAATGGTAAAAAACGTATCAATACTTCCTCTGTGTGTTCAGTAGTTCTATCAAAAGATTCTGCCAGTTCTTCTAATATATTGGTATAAAATTTGAAAGTCTGATCACATGTAGGTTTTAAACCTACAAACTGGGCATAACATTTGCAAACAAAAGAATATGAATTCTCCGGATTATTCCAAATAATATTACAAGCTTCGAACAACATCCTAATTAAAACCAGAAGGTGCTGATTGTGTTTTGATTCTTTTGCATTCACAAGTTGCCTCATTGAGTAGCATACTTGTTGTTTGATCATATCATAATATTCTTTGGCTTTTTTTATTTCTTTGAACGTATTGATAAAAGTTGGACAGATGACCTCTTGCATTTTGGACAAATCATCATATCTTTCCTGAAAAAAAAAAAAACATTAATAATTTGAAACCATTTAAAAAAACAGATTATGTAAACCTTGAAGCAGAGAAACCTAAGAGTCAAAAGCAATACTATTACTAAATGTATAAAAACTGCTAGTATAATATATAAAAAGCTAGAGAAGTCATTTTCAAAATTTCCATCTGCAGTAAAAGACTAAAAAGTGGCATAAGAACACTAAAAAGTGGGAGATATTTTTAAAGGAACTCTATCAAGACAATAGGCCTCTTTCACATTTTTCGAAAACATATTTAAATTATTGTGTTAGTCATACATACTGGAGAATAAAATGATTTGGAAATAGAATTTTCAAACTGCTGTTGAAACGCGGGCTAGGACTGCGATGTCAAAGTCCCAAAAATGCGAGAATGCCGAATTTCCAATTTATCATTAGTAAATCATTCGAAAACATGACTGCGTCGAATTAAAGTATTGTACTATAGAGCGGTACATCTTTTAATTAAATTTTTAATCGTGTTTGACGGCAAGCGATATATCAATCTTTGTCTATAGTCTAGCACATTCACACATTGTCGGAGAAGCGTTCAGATTAAAGGTCTGTTCTCAATTGTTGAAATAATATACTTGTTCAACAATAATCATTTTTAAATTTGAATAGGTAAACAGTTTTCATGGGTCTGTATCAAGGTTTGAGACAATCAATAGGATTGCATTCTTTTATTTATAATTATTTTTTGTACACCTGTGAACCAGTTTTTAGTTGGTGTGACAATTTGTCAAAGTAGTAGTCATTTTTTATATTATTTTTATTAATTTCTATTGTTCATTTTCCGGTTAATAAAATAGTTTTCTACTTTAAATTGTATCTGATATTATCTCCAAATTTGAACAGGTTATGGGGCCCAGCTACGTCGCGTTAGCTCTCCTGTAAGAGATAATAAATAAAGAGTACAATCGCGAGTTGTGTTCGCGGAAACTCTTAAAAACCGGAATAATGGCGGAAGGTGCCAAGTATAACATTGAAAAATTTAACGGGCAGAATTACGAGTCATGGAATTATCTGGTGAAAATGTTACTCATAAATGCTGATTTATGGGACGTAGTATCGACTGCAGTACCAACACAAGCAGCGCAAGACGCCAAATGGAAAAAGGAAAATGACAAAGCCTTATCAACTATAGCCCTACTTGTCGATGTTAGTCAATTGGTGCATATCAGAAATAAGCAATATGCACGTGAGGCGTGGGAAGCACTAAAGGAGTATCACCAAAAATCAAGTTTATCTAGCATGGTGTTTCTATTAAAGCGGATTTGCAGGTTGACGCTAGAAGAAAATGGTGATATGGAAGCACACATCAGTTTATTCTTGGAATTATTGCACAAATTGGCCGCCTTAGGAGAAGAAATTAAGGACAGATTTGCAACAGGGATTTTGCTGGGAAGTCTTCCAGACTCGTACAGTTTTTTAATTACAGCGCTGGAAAGTAAACCATCAAATGAATTTACGCTGGAATTCGTCAAAAGTAAATTAATCGATGAGTACAGGAGACGTCAAGGATCTTTGAGAATTCAAGAGGAGTTAGCCATGAAGTCAGTATATAAAAGTGACAGAAGTAATCATGCTGCAAACAGTGCAAACACAGACGGAAAGCAATGTTACTTTTGTAACAGAAAAGGCCACTTTAAACGGGATTGTTTTAAGTATAAGGCGTTTATAAAAGAAAGGGCCAATACAGTTAGTGAAAATAATACTGATATGTGTTTTATGGTAAATTTTAGCGACGTGAAACGGGATTCTGCTTTGTGGTATGTGGATTCAGGAGCTTCGAGTCACATGGTTAATTCTAAGGGATTTTATACCCAGTTTGATGAAAGCAGAAAAGGCGTTGTGAGACTAGCAGAGAAGGGGCAGCACTCCAAAGTTGAAGGCATAGGCACAGGATCCATCAAGTGTGTAAATAGAGCGGAAGTATACGAGCTAAAAATCGATGATGTGTCGTTTGTGCCGCAATTGGATTCAAATCTACTTTCTGTGAAAAAACTAACAAGTGCGGGTTATAACGTGCATTTTAACGACAGTGAATGTAAAATCGTTTTACACGAAAAAGTGATAGCAAGTGCAAGCCCGGCGCCCGACTTGTACAAGTTATCAACCGTGCAGCAGGCACTAAGCGTTACTAATGAACATTCAAGTGACTGTCAGCATACATGGCATCGACGATTTGGGCACAGGGACATGGAAGCAATCAAGCACCTGATGGAAAGAAAAATGGCATCCGGGATTATTATTAAGGACTGTGGGATCAGAGAAACTTGCAATTGTTGTGTACAAGGTTAAATTATCCGCAAGAGTTTCCCGAAAAATTCTCAAAATAATACATTCAATATACTTGATTTAATACATACAGATGTTTGCGGACCCATGAAGACTGTCACTCCGGGAGGTAAGCGATACATTCTTACTTTAATTGACGATTTCTCAAGGTATACAACTGTATATTTAATGAATCATAAAAATGAAACTTTAAAATATATTAAAGAATTTATTGAGTTAATGAATAATCAGTCAGGCAGGGTTCCGAAGGCTTTTAGGTCGGATAGGGGTGGTGAGTATGTAAATAATTTTTTGAGGAAATATTTAAAGGGTAAGGGCATAAAAATTCAGTACACTGCGGGGTACTCTCCAGAGCAAAATGGGGTTGCTGAGAGGAAAAATAGGTCGCTAGTTGAGATGGCTAGGTGTATGTTAATTGATGGGGATTTATCAAAGAAATTTTGGGGTGAAGCAATAGTTACAGCCAATTATTTGCAAAATCGACTACCTACCCAGTCAAAACATAAAACACCTTTTGAGTTATGGCATGAAGTTAAACCTGACGTGTCGAATTTGCAAATATTTGGGTCTAGAGTTTACAGTCACATTCCAAAGGAACTAATTAAAAATAAATTTGATAAAAAGGCGGAGTCGTTAATTTTCGTGGGATATTCTGATGAATCTAAAGCATTTAGGTTGTTGGATAAATATACAGGGCGTATAAAAATAAGTCGTAGTGTGGTGTTCCCCGAAAGTAATACATATATTGAAGAAAATAAAATAAAAAAGAAGAAAAGGCAAGAAGTTTTATCGGAAGTGTTTTTCGAATTGACAAAGGCACAGGAGAAAAACGAACCAAACAACTCAGAGGAAAAAGAGGTCACCGATTTCGAAAATATCGAGGAAATAGAAGAAGCCACGGAAGAATCTAGTTCTTATGAAGGTTCAAATACAAAACAATATCACGGCAGTGGTCAAAGCTATCAACCAAGCAAAGAACCTGGCATGTATGACGTGGGTGGCCGTAGTAAATCAAATAGAGTAAATAAGGGAGTTCCACCCGAGCGCTACGTAGCAAAGTTCGTTGAACTACAAGAAATAGAGCCCAAAAACTTCAAGGAAGCTCTTGCCAGCAAAGATAGTGGAAAATGGATGCAAGCTATGCAAGACGAATTCAAATCATTAAAGGTTAACGAAACATGGAACTTAGTACATGACCCGAAAGGAAAAAATATAGTATCATGTAAATGGATATTCAAGCTAAAGACAGGTGAAGATAAAACGTCGAACAAATATAAGGCACGACTGGTGGCGAGGGGTTTTAGCCAAAAATTCGGAGTTGATTACGATGAAGTATTCGCACCTGTAGTGCGGCAAGCAACTTTCCGAATATTGCTAACACAGGCATGGAGTCAAGATCTCACAATAAGACATTTAGATGCAAAAACAGCTTTCCTAAACGGAGAACTGACAGAAGAAATTTATATGAAACAACCTGAAGGATTTGAAGAAGGAGACACAAGTTATGTTTGCAAATTGAACAAGAGCTTATACGGATTGAAACAGTCTGCCAGAATCTGGAACCAGAAACTTGATGAAATATTGACAAATGATGGATTTCGTAAAAGTAATATTGATGCATGTTTGTATATTAAGATTATCGATGACCAAAGGGTTTACATAATAATATACGTAGATGATATATTGATTGCAGCAAAGGATATTGAAGAAATTGACTTTTTTGAAGAAAAATTAAAACATCATTTTGAGATAACAAGTTTGGGGTTATTAAAAAATTATTTAGGAATAAATATTGTGAAAAATGATCAAGGAATTTACAGTTTGAATCAAGCAAAGTATATAGACAAACTGTTAGACAAGTTTGGAATGAAAGATTCAAAAACATCAAATATACCATTGGATAACGGATATTATAAACTAGACCGGCTGGAGCCTATGAAAAATAGTGAAATATACCAACAATTAATCGGAGGATTGCTATACATTGCAGTAAATACGAGACCTGATATATTGGCTACTGTAACCATATTAAGTCAACACAATAAGGATCCGAAAGAAGTTGACTGGAATGAAGCTAAAAGAGTGTTGAGATATTTAAAGAAAACAAAACATAAAAAACTCGTATTAGGAGAACGCAGTTCAGATAGTGTACTATATGGATATGCAGACGCTGATTGGGCGGAAGATAAACAGAACAGAAAATCGAATAGCGGATACATATTCATGATACAGGGTGCACCTATTAATTGGGGATGCAGGAAGCAGAGCTGTGTGTCACTATCGTCAACTGAAGCTGAGTACATAGCACTAGCTGAGGGTTGTCAAGAAGCAATTTGGTTAAAGCAGATGATACAGGAGTTTGTGGATTTGGAACCGAGAGTAGTTATGTATGAAGACAACCAAAGTTGTCTTAAGCAACTAGAAAACCATAAATTTAGTAATAGAACAAAACACATTGATACAAAGTATCACTTTGTGAAAGAATTGTGTGAAAGGCGGGTTTTTGATTTTAAATATTGTCCGACTGAGGATATGATTGCTGATATGTTAACCAAGCCACTAAATAAAGTGAAGTTGGAATATTTAAGTGCCAAGAGTGGACTGTCTGACTGTTCAACAATAATCATTTTTAAATTTGAATAGGTAAACAGTTTTCATGGGTCTGTATCAAGGTTTGAGAC